CAGAGACTGTCCAACTAGCACCCACTAATCTAGATAAAATTGCCCAACAGTTTTGCTATGAAAAGACAAAGTTCCTAGTCCCAACAAGGATACCAAAATCACTTATGGTTACTTCAGCATGATCTAAGGGTTATGATGTTGAATAACATTTTCAAAATAAAATTAACGAGACTATAAAAGGTAAGAAGAGCAATAAATATCATCATTACCTGCCAATCCTTCACGGAACCATTGTTGAAGGGGTCCATCAGCCAAAGTTGATTTTATATTGTCCCTGTATGCATCATGAGAACCTGAACCAAGAGCTCTTGGGTATTCAGCCGAGTTCCTATATGCCCTTGAATGCGTCCCAACCCCCATTGCACCTTCTCGAATAGCCAATGCTGAAGCTACATGAACTGGAATCATCAAACCAGTACCTTCCTTTACAGATAATTGCTTTTCTTGCCCTCTAGACTTTGTTTGTGCCATGGCTCTCTCGCTGGCAAGAACCGAATGTATTATCAAATTCCCATTAATCTCCACATGCTTCCCGTTTCTCGGCACATAAAGCAATGCTGGTAAACTCTCAGAAGAGTTCTGCCTCCCTCTACCACCACAATCCATTTTCCCACTAAACTGTCCATATTCCTGGGTATTGTTCAAACTGTTACCCCGATCTTCAACAGTCAAAACCCTACCATGAGACCCACCAAATCCATCATAAACCTTGTTCTTATTTCCTCCTAATCCAAAATCGCGAACACCTCCAAAGACCATCATCACAAAGAACAACCCCAGAAGGCTCACACTTGCAACCTTCTTCATCTTGCTCTCGCTCTTCTTCCTCTCAGTTTTCTTTACCTTGGGAGCCGAAACAGGTTGCTGAGGCTTCAACCTAGGAATCGGGACGTAAGGAACAGGAGGACCGTTATGTCTCATTGGATACCCACCATAAGGGATCCATGGAAAATAATACTGAGGAGGAGGAGGAGGGTTTCCCTTGCCATCGCTGCCATTTGCTCCATTTTCACTCAATTGCTGATGCAATCTCGCGTTTTCGGTCATATAAAACGAGATCTTTCCATTCAAATCAGCGATTGTCGAGTTCATAAGCTTCACCTTCTCCTCCAATTCCTCCACATATTGCTTCTTCCTCTGCCTCGACAGCTGGGCGCTCTCTCTGTTCCTCATCATCCTCGCCCTGCGCTTCTCATCCTCTTCAGTCCCCGCCCGCAACACCCCATGGCGAGTTGCCCTCGTCAGATCGCTGTATCTTAAGATTCCTACTGCTAGGGTTAGAATCAGGGCTAGGGCTAGGGTTTTCAACCATACCGTTATCATCAATTTTCCTCTTGAACCGAGAATTGTTCTCCTCCTGCTTAACATCCTGACGAGAGGTGGCGGCTCCCGAAGCTCCCGAGGAGTTTCCGGATTCAGGCGATCCGGGATTTGAACCGGAGTTGGAATTGGAGTTGGAAGCGGTGATGTTTGAATTGGAATTGGAGCTGGGTCCGTTATTGCTGTCATCGGCCGAGGGAAGAAGGAGATCGTCGACGGAGAAGTCGAGATCGATGTCGTCGAGATCGAGAAGCCGCCGTCGGGGAAGAGGTCGGGATCGTCGAACGAGAGATCGGAGGCATCGAATTGGGGGAAGTTCTCGAAGGGGGAGGGATCTAAGAACGAAGGCTCCGCCATTGATTATGGGCTTCTTGGTTATCGGTGATGTGTCGAAGGTTTTCAGTCGTGGGGTGCACGCGGACGCGGGGTCGCGAAACTTCTCGCTCGCGTGGAAACTTGCGTTTCCGCCCTTGTTTTGATTTTGTTTTTTTAGTGCATTGCTCCTGTACTTTCTGGGCTTTGGGCTCGGCCCCAACAGAAGGCGCCCATTTATATTATTATTGCTAGGCCCAACAATAGGCCCATGGGCTCATTGCAAAAGCGCCTAATTTCACATAACCCACCTGAACTTTTAGGCGTGTTGCTGTAGGCAATAAAAATTGCCTTTACACAAGAGAACTCAAATCTCGCATGTTTGAATTCGCCTGGGTGCTCAAAGCAAGCTAAGCTAGCCTACATTCAGAAGGACAAGTTAAGCTCGTCTGCATTCAAGAGGCCAAATAGAGCTCGTCTGATTGCTCGCCTGCATTCAAGAGACCAAGCAGAGCTGGCCAGCAAACTTGACTTGCCAACACAAGTCAAGCTCGCATGCATTCAAGAGGCCAAGCAGAGCTCGCCTGCAAGCTTGACTTGCCAACACACTTTGCTCCCCTGCACTAGCTAAAGTTCGCTAACATGGCTTGACTTTCAGCTCACATGCTTAAGGGGTTCGCCAGCCGACCCCGCCTATTCGCCAAGCTTGCCTACAAGCTCGTTCGAGCATTCAGACAGCACTCGAGCTCGCCTGCAAGCCCGCCAGCCTTTCCTGAACGGTGCAAGCAGCTGCTTGCTTGTGGGAGTGGGCAAGCCCACGTCCCACGTTCTAAGTGATGGAGTATGGCTCTCATCACCCCTAAGTAGTCATATCCCACAGCTATAAGGGAAGGTATGGTGCTCCTCACCTTGAGCGGTCACATCTCACAAGTCAAGTGATTGACCATGCATTTCCTTGCCTATTTATAAGTCACATTTGGCAACATGAAAAGGCGCTTGACATTTTTAAGACTCTTCAATCAGAGACTTTTGCAGGGTGGCTGGTTCTCAATTCGAAATTGGAACTAAGAGATCAGTTTGGAATTCGGGGGGGAGGGGGGGATAGGCTGGATATTCTTAAGCAGAAGCTTGGATTGTTGAAGTAGACTCAATCTGAACTCTCAGATTTGAGACTCTTGGCTCTTTGCAAACTCTTGCATATTAGCCTTCTCTAAGCATTCAGCATTGACATTCATCAAGCTCGGGTAATCGAACTCAATCACACAAGAGCTCCTATTGCGTACTGAAGCTCAACTGCAATTTTGATCGAATCGTCCAAGGGAAGCAAACTCAACGCAAGTATTCGAGGGAGGCGTCCTATCGCTACCGAAGAACTCACGTTAAACAAGAAGAGCACTCTCTTCGCTTCTATTGTAATTGTTGATCCTTAGTTTGTAATAAGTCATTCTTATTAATACAAACAATCCCTTTTCGGGAGTTAATTTTTACACCCTACAGTTGCAGATGACTCCTCTCAATTTTTTTCGTCTCATATAACCCCTCTGAATTTTGTCTATCTCATGTAACCCCATTAAACTTTGGAGTGTCTCACAAACTACCCCTGAACTTTGAAGTTTTCTCACCGGACCCTTTACATTGTAATTTGTAAATAACTAAACCTTCCTTGCGAAAATCCTAAACTTTATCATTTATCAATTACAGGCATTATAACCCCTCTCCTACATTTTGTATTTTTCCTCTCGATGAAGCTTCAATTATTAGCAAATTACATATGAGGGATTTTGTAAGGCACGTCAAAGTGTGAGAAGGATTATATGGACAAACAAAGTTCAGAGGGGTAATGGTTTTTCTTCCCCCTCAATCCTCTCCAAGTTCCACATGTTATTATCTGACATATTGTCAGCTCAAATCATGTATTATGACACGGGCACATGACGTACGCATTTCGATCATACATATTTAGGGGGCGTTTGGTCCACGATGGGAGTGGGACTTAGGTTAGGATTGGGATTAGATGGGACTAGGATTATAGAAGTCCTAGTCCTGAGCTCAACCAAACGTTGCCTTAAAGAGTACATGAGACTTTGTTACAAGGCACTACGAATTCAAAGAATGCTATTAATTAATATTATTAGAGAAACTCTTTCACATACTAGGATATATGTACTTAAATTTCTATAATACATAGGGTCTTCATAACGCCTAGGGTCTAATAAGTTGAAATGTTGAGAGATCTAAGAATACTGTTGCAACTTAATTCGTCTTCCCTAGCTTTAAGCAAAGCTCTCCGCTCCACGGCCCCTTCGAGTTGAAACTAGGGGGGCCACCTTCTAATGATTCCTTCTCCTTTTTTTTCTTTTTTTTAAATACCTTTCTCCTCGTTTCCATCAACGTGCAATCTTTGTTAAAGAATCTAGCGCAACCTATGTTTACAATTTAGTCAAGGAAGAAATGATTGTCTTTGGAACTTTCTTTCATGTCACAGTACTAACTTCCTCCGCTTAATTACCACGAGAGGTACAAATACGCGTTCAAGTCAAAACGTATGCATATTTACTACAGTAAAAAAAAGCAACAGAGATATTTCAGAAATTATCTGTAGGCCAGATGAGACTTTACAATTAATTTGATGTTACATGTACATGTAACTTTCTCCGTTGACAGATAAAACGAATGAGAACTAACTAGTAGCTCGTTTGGAAAGAACACAATTAGCGCGTTTTCACGTCTAGTTAGAAATCAGACTGAAGATAAATCAGAAGTTTCGTACAAATCAGACTGAAGAAAAATACTAGTTGACTCAGGATTTTGATTAACTAACTAACAGAACTAATAGAGGAATAAACGCAGGAGGAAATTCCTCTCTCACATCTAAAGACTAGAAGTGTGATATGATCACAACTCGTCCTAAGTTGGAGAGTTTTGATGTATATATATGGGACTTGTACACTGTTGGAAGCCAGGCCATCGTGTGACTTACACGCGTGAAAGAAGCTCTAGGCTCTTGTGTGCATCCAAACAAGCCTAACTGGGTTCAAGCCAATGACGTTTTACAATTTCCACTCATTGTTATTGTAAAAGCAAGGGTAAATTGCTCTTCTCACTTCCTCTTCATGCACGTGCAGAGCTTTAATCAGTTCACTTAATGCTCTGTAAAGCTTCCTTTTGGCGGAGCAAGGTCCAATTTCTACAGTGCCCTTTACTCCTTTTGAAGAAAGAGGGTCCTTTTTCCCTTTATTAAGCATGCATTTGATCAGCTGAGGACAATGATTTGGAAGATGTTGGAATAATGGCTGTACCAACGAGCTATGAGGAATATACTTCATGAAGAAGTAATTAATATGGTGATATTTTTTTTTTTACCTGTCTTTTATAAAGATGCTATCCAAGGACATGCTCCAAGAAAGTCTTTTATGTGGCAAAAATCCAAGATAAAACCCTTTTTATGTGTTTTAGATGTTGCGGTTCGGATTGATCCTTGTACATGGGCTCTTTCTAGATTGGCAAATGACCATATGTTCACATGTTTGCATCTATATATGTGCAAACCAGTGTGGAAACAAGGAGTATATGTGAATCTAAAACTCTACTGGTATGTTTGGGAGTTCACTTACCTGTTTGGATGGAGGGTAGAGAGAGGGAGGAGAAGAGAAATCTAATTTTAACTTTGTTTGAGAGTTCCATTCATGAGGGTAGAGGAGGGGAATGAACGGGTACGGGGGATTTGAGCCAAAATTTTACACCACAAATTAGGGTGTAATGAAGAGAAGGGAAGGAATGAGAACTTTTCCCCTTCCTTCCCTTCCTTAAGTCATCTCCCAGACACACTGTTAGGGAAAATCCCCCTTCCTTCCCTTCCCCTTCATTACCCCCCAATTTGGGGTGTAACATTTTAGCATAAATTCCCCCCTATTCCCCTCCTAAATGCAACTCTCAAACAAGATTAAAATTACATTTCTCTTCCTCTCTCCCTCTCTACCCTCCATCCAAACAGACTTTACAAGTTTCTCTCTCCAGTCAAAGGGATACCTAAATAAACCTCTGCTTTCTCAAGAAGTGGGTCACATATGGATAGAGAAAGTCCATGTGATGCACACATTAACTTGTCCACCACATTATACATATGATGATATTTTTTCAATAAACTTCAGAGTATTCAATGTAAAATTAAACAAAGATCATATTATGTTTTTGGAAAAGCCATGAAAATTTATGGTAATTTCAGTAGCATGCCTCATGAATGGCCTCAGATATGAATGATTGCGACTCTTATTATTGCCTTGACCCCCAGAAAAAATTTAAAAATAATATTTTAAAAAAACAGATATTGGAAAGACTCAAGAGCAGGAAAGAAGATGAACAAAGACTCACAGATTTAATAGCCTAAACCCTCTTACCTAAGAGCTTGTCTAAAGTTCCTTAGAATAGTATTTTCTATAATCAATGTCATGTCCCTCTGTATAGCTTTTAGCTTAGCACATCTTTCAGTAGGCACCTTTTAAGTTTTATGAGCATAGTACAACTATTAAAAGTTTACAGACATGTGTAACAAAATGACAAAGTTAATTATTTAGTATTGATGATGATGGAAGTTGTTTATGTATATTTCTCTCATGTAGTACGTTCACTAGACCTTCCAGAATGCCAAGCCAGCATCAATCATGCATATTGCGAAAAAAATATGATGACCCACTTCCTGTGATGGGCATTAACGTTTCTTCAGAAGCTCTTGTTTGGTTGTTAATTAGCATGCGAAGTTTGAATTTGAGTTAATGTTTGTTTTAATTTTTTAAGCTTGGCACTTTATTATTACTTAGAGAAGGCAACATCTTAATTTGAATCCCGAAATACAAGCACATGACATAACTGTGCAATAGAAAATGGTATTGTTGTTAAATAATGTAATTAGTTTATCTTATTTTGTTTTGTTTTAGTCCCACCTTGATTTGGTTATTAGAACCTCTCTACTTTCTCTTGTATTTGAACACCTCAGTAGAATGAATAATATTGTCAAATTCTCTCAAATCTCTCAGTACTTATCATTGTATCAGAGCCACCTCCTTCATCCTAGAGAGAGTTCCTTCCTTCTCCCCAACCTTGAGGGTGCTGAGGGCCACAAACTCCCCCTCGGCGGCTCCAACATC